ACGCAACTGTAAGCAATGTAACTGCGTAAGAACTGTAATTGTGTAAATAATGTAAGGGCATACCCATCGCTCAACATGTGACTCATGGTATCGTGACTGTCCCCTCCTCCCCCCCATCCCTCCTCCTTCTTTTTTCTGTACCCTCTCCCCTTCCCCCCGCCCATTTACACTTGTGGAAAAACAATAAACTACAAATTTCAAAAAAAAACTTGTACCCATTTTAAGAAGGTTGACGTTAACAGTTATATAGGGGCGAACAGTTGCCATTTCTCCCCTTGGCTGCTAAACGCCCCTAAGGCGCAATTACTCAGGATTAAAAGAAATTGTACAGATCAACATAAATTTTATGAACAGTTGGGGAAAATAATTAATGATTTTAAAGAAAAGGGATATAGAGATGATCCTTTAGAGAAAGCCCTTTCCGAAGTAGAGCATGAGGACAAGATGGAACTAATAAAATATAAGGGCACTAAGGACAATATAAAACCTTAGAATTTAAAATTAATTTGTGATTTTAACCACAGTGGTGGACGTCTTTTGAAGATCATTCGGAAATATTGGCCAATACTAAAGAATGATTCAGTTTTAAATTCAATACTCCCTAATACACCGGATATAGTATATAGAGGTGTACCAAATCTCAAAAGCACCTTAGTTAAGAATCACATACCATCAAGAAAAATGACAAATCAGTTTTTTAAAGAAAAGTGCGTTTTTTATGGGTGTGGTATGTGTGGAGCTTGTAAAAATTCTAAAAATGGTAAAAGAATAGTGAGAGAGTTCTGCCATCCACAGGATAAAAATACAAAATTTAGAATTAAACAGGTTATTACTTGTCACTCAAGTAAAGTAATCTACATGATTACATGCCCTTGTGGGCTAGCATATATAGGGAGGACCACTAGAACTCTTAATACCAGAATTCAGGAACATGTTAGGAACATTAAAAATGGGTTTTTAAAACATAGTGTATCCTTGCACTTTAAAAATCATCAAATAGTAATCCAAATTTGATGGAATTTATAGGAATCCAAAAAGTTATTGGAAATTGGAGAGGTGGAGATCCCATTAAACTAATAGGACAAGCAGAGATTAAATGGATTTTTAATTTGAACACTATGCAACCCTATGGTCTTAAAGGACCACTATAGTGCCAGGAAAACATACTCGTTTTCCTGGCACTATAGTGCCCTGAGGGTGCCCCCACCCTCAGGGACCCCCTCCCGCCGGGCTCTGGAGAGAGGAAGGGGTTAATCACTTACCTTTCTCCAGCACCGGGCGGGGAGCTGTACTCCTCCTCTCCTCCTTGCTCGCGACGTCATCGGCTGAATGCGCATGCGCGGCAGGAGCCGCGCGCGCATTCAGCCGGTCGCATAGGAAAGCATTTGCAATGCTTTCCTATGGACGCTTGCGTGCTCTCACTGTGATTTTCACAGTGAGAAGCACGCAAGCGCCTCTAACGGCTGTCAATGAGACAGCCACTAGAGGCTCTGGAGGCTGGATTAACCCTCAGTATAAACATAGCAGTTTCTCTGAAACTGCTATGTTTATAAAAAAAAGGGTTAATCCTAGAGGTACCTGGCACCCAGACCACTTCATAAAGCTGAAGTGGTCTGGGTGCCTAGAGTGGTCCTTTAATGATGATTTAGAAATATGCCACTTTTTATGATAATTTTATATTAATTAAAAAAATTTTTTAATATTTTATTACTTCATATTGATATATATTTTTTATTATAATTTTATATTGAAGATTTGTATCTTTACTATTTTAAGATATTTTAATATTTTTTAATATAACACAGATTTTATGGTGGATAAATCATCATTAAAAGAACCCCTTTGCACAGATTCTGGTTTATTTCTGGTGGGGATGCTAAAAATGATCTTTTAATGTATCCAGTATTAACTAATAGTTTATATCTCTTTGTTTGTGTCTTCACTATGTTCAAATATGAGCATATTGCCTTACTAATAGAAGAACAACAAGGACACTACTATGGATGTATAATTGCCAATACAATGCCCTTCAGTAAAATGGCGGAATCACTCTCTATGGACTGAGAAACCGGACAGCAAATTTATATCACAGGAAGTGACGTCTACCTCCATGTGACCAGGAAGAAGATATCACCAAACAATGGGTTGTTACGGGCAAATGCAAATATTACAAGTTTTAGAATGAAATGTTGTATTTCTTAAACTGTGTACTTTGTCTTTAAGAGATATTGCAAACTGACAAGGTGTTAGAAATGGAACATATTGTTTTTCATAGATGTTTCTTTAAGCAATAACCTCAGTGCATAATATGTTTGGGCCATTTTGTCCCAGACGAATTACAATAACAATAATGCATAAACAAGCTTCAAGGCTATACTACGACTCTTGCAGTACACAATATACTGTGGTAACCCCAAGTTAATGAAACTTCCCCAAATCCGGGAATCTCCCATGACTGTACACTTGCGACTTAGTATAAACAACAGATAACCTATTCAGACTTTAAGATGCCATCTTGAATTAAGTCAGGAAAATTTCCATGACGTATACACCCTTTAGTTATGGCCTTGTATGTTTGCCAAATTAAGGGAGGTCCTAAATTGAATAAAGTAAAAGAAGTGTTACTTTTTCATATTTGAACTACAGTAACCTAAAATGGAGACACCTAAGGTATAAATAGGTGTACTTTTAAATGTTAAGATACAGAGGAGAGACTTGGAGACAGACGCTGCTCCATCTTAAAATGACAGAGGCTGACATGATGACATGTTCAGAAGGGTATGTTAACCTATTAATGATATTTGCAAGCATGTAATTTAATCTTATAAACTCTGCTATAATGGATTTTATATTTATATTTTTATATAATAAATATCCAAAAGACAATCTTGCTTCCAAGACAATCCTTATTTTATATTGTAAACTTTATAAAATTATGGCTAAGATATCTGTATGGTTAGCCCTACTAAGTTCTATGCTTTAAGACATTATAGTGGTAAATAAGGGAACCAGAAACGGTTACAATTGGCGACCACGAAGGGACTTTGTACTTGGAAGCTTTAAATATAAAATAAATACCTAGGTAACCTCTTATACGTAAGAGAAGACACAGTACTTTGTCATGGCACAAGTCTTGAAATATCAAGAATCTATTGAGCTATGTGTAGCCCAGACTCAGAGAGAGATCTTCATCATTAGAGATAATTTTAATGTGAACAAGGCACTGTGAGTTCAGGTGCCAGGTACAACGTAATTAGCATACACTGCTGAAATTGTGGATCTTAACTAATATCATAATAGAACAAATATACATATTTGGTAAACTCCCTGATATGCCTAATACACCAGCATAGCATGGTCCATTAGTTCCAGGACAGTGGATTGCAGACAAGGGGATATGTTCTCTTTGTAGCTGCTTAGTATGCATGCGCAGGAAATAGATTAATGCAAAATGTTGTCAAAAGAAAAGTGATAAGACAGAGCAATGAAATTTTAAGTCTAATTCCAAGAATGCAAAGAAAATTGCATTAAGGCTTAATGAAAACATTTAGGCAACAGACAGACAGGATTTTTAATTATTGCATTACTGCGTTCTGGATTCTAATGTCCACTATATATGAAAAGTTTTATAAAACAGTGATAATTTCCATATTGTCAGTTACGCTAGCTGTTGATTGAAAATCAGGAATTATAACAGCATAATTATTTTTGGAGACTGGAATTTCCAGCCAAGGTTGCGGAGATACAGAGACATGTAAACATTCCAAGGAATTGAGAAGTCGTCGTTTTATATTCCAAATTATGAACAACATTATTACATACAGCCATAAAGAGAAAGACATGGCTTTTAAATAAATTCAGTGCAGTACAATGCAATACACTGCAGCATGTATTTTATATAATATATGCTAACTAGCTCATATTTTTTCCTAAACAGAGTTGAAATTATACTACCCTCCTAGAAAAAAGGGCAACAGGTGGTTATACACCCTTTGCTTCTCTAAATGCTCTGCAAAAATAAATATTTATAAAATAATTAAAAATAATATATATGTAAGATAAATCAGGGCAAAATAAAATGGTAACTATACAGGATCTCTGATAACTTTTACATTGAAATTATTAAAGGCTTATTTAAATAAAATGTTAAATACATTTACAGCTTTAAATGTGACCAAAAGATATTAAATGATGTGTTAAGCAGCCAGCCCAATTCACTAGAATAGCATAAGTATTCTACTATTTAAAGTGCACAATTCCTGCACATAATGACTTTGCTTACCCAGGTACAGTCTTTAGTCTATTGCAATGGCAGTAAAGTCCACCAATTTTAAAAGGGAAAGCTTACTTAAATCATTGGTACTATCCCACCGTACTAGCAGTAAGGAAATTAGAACAATTATATTGTACTACTGACTGTAATCAGATCAGACACATGTAATCTCAGTGAATTTCATAAACTAGGTTTTCAAAAAATAAGATTAAATATCAAAGTTGTCAATATATCAATGTTGTTTATAAATAAAAGTATATAGACTAGGCAATAACAGCATTTACATGCATTCAGCAGCCTGCTCTCTCAGAGCCAGAACTGGATTTATAAAACAAAAATAGGTTTTAAAAAGTCCACAGTCAACCACACATGAAGGGTGAAATTATTGCTTATTTAAAAGCTATATGCTGCCGCAATTATGTATATAAATACAGATTAGGGCACAGCGTAGAAATCAAAAATACAGTTTCAAATCTCATATATGAGGATTCAGTTCCACCACATATTCTACAATTCTGAAAGAGGCTAATTTTAATAATATGTTGTAATAGCATTGTGAATATATATAATGCAAAATTAATTTGATATTGCAAGGCTGCAATATTCTAAACAGACATTAAAATTTAAGAAAAAAATAAAAATAATAATGTATAAAGAATAATGCATAAAAGAAAATGCAGTGTCTATTAAAGTGATGATACTCTGATATTAAAATCACATTGCATATCACATATCTGCTATATGAAAAGTATAATTAAGGTGACATTACTGTCCAATGCCCCCTCACATCTATTTTATAGAATCTATACTTTTCAGTGGTCACCTCCAAAGAAGCCTCGAAACTGGGGGGCTCAGAGGGGTGCTCATCCCAAAAGGAATCAGATTCCAGACTTAAAGAAAAATAAATGATAGAAAAGGAATCACGGGAACACCCAGAACATGCATTTTTGTATATAATCTTAATTTGCAGACATTTTATGCCTTAAAGACATATAAAGCATATTTAATTAAATATGCAGGTATCTTTAAAAAATTCAAGCAATGTTAAAAAATAAATAAAATAAATAATAATAATAAAAATATATAAACAGTCACAATATAAACAGCTTTGTTAAGCAGATTTAAGTACAAGTAGGGGCAAAGGTTTAAAAATAATATCAGGAAGTATTACTTTACTGAGAGGGTAGTGGATGCATGCAATAGCCTTCCAGCTGAAGTGGTAGAGGTTAACACAGTAAATGAGTTTAAGCATGCGTGGGATAGGCATAAGGCTATCCTAACTATAAGATAAGGCCAGGGACTAATGAAAGTATTTAGAAAATTGGGCAGACTAGATGGGCCGAATGGTTTCTTATCTGCCGTTACATTCTATGCTTCTATGTTTCTATGTTAAGTACTTATGTCAAGAAATATACAGAATCCATTTATAACAGGCAAGTTTAGCATAAATGCAAAGTTGTTTTGGGGGATTTATTATTGCCCAAGAAATCTCTGAACATATTCAGAATTTTTGAGAGCAGCAAGTGTAGATAGCAGATTGCAATGGACACCATTACAATATTCAGGGCCGGATTAAGAGCACACTGGGCCTGGTGCTGACAATTATGATGGGCCTAATTACGGAATTTTATCGACCAAAAACACTAAAACAGTCATACATCCCAAGCGTCATGTATCTGATGGAGATGGTGCTGGAGGGAAACTCATAGGATGCAGCTATAAGAAAAAACATACTCTATGCTTATCTCTCTCTAATTTATGCTTTCATCTTTCAAGTAAATCCATACCCCCTAACAGCAGTGTCCAGTGAAGCAGGAAGTCAATAGGTGGGGTAAAAGGGTGGGCCACTGGTGCGAATCACGTGACCAGACCTGCCAAAAGGGGTGAACATGCCCAAAAAGGGGGCATGTCTGTCCAAAGAATTTGAAGGACAGCCTTGCATGAATGCATGTCAGGCTGCCCGCCTATCCTGCAGGCTGTCCAACTAAGGGCATACTATGCAGGCAGCACCCTGAGCTTGACATACATGCATCTAATGATGCGCTCACTCCATGCTTTCTCTCATTTATCATTTTTATTGAATGACAATTGCAACACATAACTTGGTAATTAATTTCAAGTCGCCTACACAGCGATATTTGCGGATAACATTCTACATGTCGCCCTATGTAGAGCCTTATTTCTCGCTCAATTGATCAATTAACCGCTTAAGTATACAAATAGTCATACAAATAATCTGTGTGTCAGGCGATGTTCGATGTGTTACATACATACAGTTTCAAAGCATGCGGTACATTTTTTGTTTTTTATAGTTAACTTGGGAGGGGTTGGGATACAGAAGGAAAGAGGGGGGGAGAGGAGGGGAGATCCCTGGACACAGCTTCACATCGCAGCCAGCAGTACAGTACAGATCACCTTCCTTATGTAGCTTGTGAGATTGATGAGGCTATATGTACCCTGAGCACCTCAACGCCCTGACCCCTTTGGTCCCTTAACGTTTGCGCCTGTGTGCTCCCTTATTGGCCCACTATGATGGTTAACCATTTGGTTTGAGCAGTCGGTTTGTCTTAGTTGTCAGTCAGGGACTATGTGGCCGCCCAACATACCCATTCTTTATCATACTTTCCTAGGCATCCTTTCAGTTTGCTGGCCATTTTCTCGTACATACTAATCACATTCATTTTGTTGATAATCACCTCTATCTGAGGAACTTGTTTGCTTTTCCAGTTACCAGCTAAAGCTACTTTTGCTATCGTCAGTATATTCAGAATCACTTTTTTGTGTGGATGCGTGACTAGGTCTGGTATGACATGTAATAAGTACTTTTCCGGTCGCAATGGGATAGAGGTGCCAGTTTTACTCGAGATCAGGATTTGGATTTGTTTCCAGAATCCGTCTAGCAACGGGCATTTCCAGAACACATGTAGCATGGTTCCAGTGTCCGACTCACATCTCCAACACAAGTTCGTAGCGCCTGATTACATACTCGCTAGTCTCTGTGGTACCAGATACCACCTCATAGTTATCTTGCAATAGGCCTCCCATAGCGAGAGGCTACTCGATGCCTGTTTTGTATTTGCCCTTGCAGACTGCCAGTCTGCTTGGGAGATATGAAGTCCCAGGTCCTGCTCCCATTTTGCCATGTATTTCAGTTTATCTGGGGTGTTTTCTGTGACCAACGCATTATAACATAGGGAGAGCGGTTTTGCTGCCTTTATCAGAGATAAGTGGCTAGGTTGGAGTACCGGAGAGTCAGTTCGAGCGACTGTGTGGTTACCATGGGTTAGTATTATATTTTTGATCCTTAAATAAAGGTACAGATCTCTCAAGTCTAACCCCAGTTCCTCTTTCAATTCAGGGAATGGTTTCACCGCATCTCCTGACATTAAATCCCTCACTAATCTCGCTCCCTTGTTAAGCCATTTGCCCACCTGTATGCCTGGGGAGTAGGCTGCTAGTGTCGTGATGGGTGCCTCCCTAAATAACCGTACTGGGTCCAGCACCTTCGGACACCAGGTCTTCCATGCTGTAAGCATAGTGATCAAGCATCTCAGGGTCATGCCCGCAGATGTTCGGGGCGTGGAGCATGTCCACAAGTAATGGACTGTGTCGTGTGCCTCTAGGCATTCATTTTCTAATGACAGCCAGAGCGGTTTACGGGGGAGATTATGGATCCTAATGAGTCGCAGACCCTGTGCCAAGAAAGAGGCCCTGTAGTATGCCGTTACATCCGGCATCCCCAGTCCACCATGGACGTAAGGGAGAACCAGACACCCTTTATTCACTCTCGGGGGCTTCCTCTTCCAGATGTGTGCATTGATCGTGCTTTGGAATTGTTTGAGCAGCGCAGTCGGGAGGAATATGGGCAGGGTTCTGAATAAGTATAGTATGTGTGGAAGTGTCATCATTTTAATTAGATTAATACGTCCTAGCCAGGAGGTATCCATGCTAGCCCACTGTTCGAGGGAGGATTTGATTTTCTTTAGCACGGGGAAGTGATTTTCTTTGATCACCGTTTGAAGGGATTTGGTGAGGTTTACACCTAAGTATTTTAAGGAATTGGTGCGCCAATCGAAGGGGTGCTGCGGTTTTATCCTTTCTAATGTAGGTTTTGGTAGGTTTATGGGTAGAGCTTGCGTTTTGGTTATGTTGTTTTTATAGTACGATATCTTCCCATAGTCTACCAGCGTTCTCATGAGATTGGGAAGGGAGGACTCTGGTTTTGTAACAAACAGCAGTATGTTATCGGCAAACAGAGCTAGTTTCTTTTCGCCCCCCTGGGTGTGCAGCCCATGTATATTGGGATCATTTTTTACTATTCTTATTAGCGGTTCCAAGCATAGGATAAATATTAGGGGGGAAAGAGGACAGCCTTGTCTGGTGCCATTACATATGGCGAGCCTGTTAGATACGAAGCCCGTGCTAAAGACTTTTGCTGAAGGGTTTTGATACAGTGCCATTATGCTCGAACTAAAGTTTAGTGGGAATCCCATTCTGGTGAGGGTGAGTGATATATACCTCCAATGTAGGCGATCGAACGCCTTCTCAGCGTCAAGCGCTAGCAAGAGTCCCGCTTAATGCGAGACGTTCGCCCATTCAATCAGGTTCAGGAAATGTCTAGTGTTGTCCCCTACCTGACGCCCCTGGACGAAGCCCGCTTGCTCCTCCGAGACGAGGTCTGCTAGGATTGGTTTAATTCTGGTAGCGAGGAGTTTGGCATACAATTTAGTGTCTGCATTCAGGAGGGAGATCGGACGTAGGTTTGCGCAGTGTGTGGGGGGTTTGTTGGGTTTGGGTAACGTCACTATATGTGCCTCCAGCATTTCCGTGGGCATATTCCCTGCAGTTTTTATGTGATTGAATAGGTTGGTGAGAGGCGTGAGTAGTTGTTTGGTCAGTTTTATGTAGTAGTAGTTGGATATTCCGTCTGGTCCGGGGGCCTTATGTTTGGGGAGGGATTTGATTGCTATTTCTACTTCGCCCTCCGTGAAGGGGTTCTCCAGTTGGGTTCGTTGCGCTTGCGTTAGACTGGCTAAGGGCACTCTGTCTAGAAAACGTACTATCTCGTCTTCCGTCGGTTGGTGGAGGGATCTTTTTCTAGTTGATATAGTGAGGCATAATATTTCGCTAGTTCGTTCACTATGTCTTGGGGGTTGTATAATTTATCCCCAGTTGTGGAAGTTATGTACGGGATTTTAGATTGCAATTTAGTTTGTTTCGCTTTATTGGCCAGCATTTTCCCAGCTTTATTACCCATAACATAGTATGATTGCTTCAAAAACCTCAGGTGTCTTTCTGTTACAGCGAGGTTGAGGCTATGAAGTGTTGTGCGAAGTGACATCAGTCGCTTATGTGTTGCCGTTGTAGGGTTTGTTTTATGGGCGGATTCTACTAAGGCCAGATCTTTCTCTACCTTGTCCAGTGTTGTGTTGTGCAGCCTCTTTGTTCTAGCCCCTATCTGGATTAATTCTCCCCTCATGACGGCCTTATGGGCCAGCCATTTTGTAGCGTCGGATGACGAGCAGTCTACGTGGTCAGCGAAAAATTCTTCAACCCGGACCTGTAGTCGTTGGAGATGTGCCGGTACGTCTAATAGACTTTCATTCAGGCGCCATGTGCCTCTACCCCTAGCTGGATACGGAATTCGCATAGTGACAACATATGGGGCATGGTCGGACCACGTGATTGGCCCAATGTGAGCCTTAATGGCGAAGGGCAGTGTTTTGGTGTCAAGTAGACAAAGATCAATTCTCGTGTAGGTCCTATGGACCGACGAGTAATACGTGTAGTCCCTCCCGCTCGGGTTCAGGCCTCTCCAGGTGTCATAAAAGTTATGCCCATGCAATAATTTCCTAAAATGTTGGCCTAGTGAGATTGAATGTTGTTGTGGTAATTTGTTCCCCTCTCGTTTTATATCGACATCGGGATCTGGAGCGCAA